AAACGAAGTATTTAAAAAAAAAAAATTGCAGTTTAAAATTAACATTATCCATTTCTTTCCAAATAGGTTTGAACACAGAACAGAAAGAAAAAAAAAATTCTCTCAAATAAATTCATCTTAAAGCAAACATACATTGCATTCCCCATTGCCATCGCGATTTTATAAAAAGTATCAGATATACCTAACTCAAACAAGGAAGCAAACAACACAACTTAGCTTTTTAATTTAAAGGGAAAAAAAGGTATATATTTTCCCTAAAAAAGCCATAAAAAATTAACATAACAGGATTTCCCATTCTGCAATTCCTGTCTTGTTATTACAGTGATGTAAGGGCGGGAAAAATTACAATGCGATTTCGGAAAGCAGATGAAGCGAAGTCGAAGTCTGAGAAAGAAAAAGATGCAGAAGATGGTTTTAAAACTGTTTCCATGACAACGGTAATGTCCGCGTCATAGGGCGCAACCAAGCGCCCGTTGGACGCCCTCTCTTCCTTTTGATGTTTCTTCATTCCACGTGGTGATATGGAAATAAGCCTTTCATCAGTAATTGTTAGATTTTGTGAGGGGATTCATGGCTGAGTGAGTTGTCAGAGATTTCGTTGAATTGTAAATTTAGTTTAGAGGTAAAAATTTCGTTCGAAAGTATATAGAATTAGGAGAAAATAAAAATTGTGGTCATGGACCGCCTTACTCTGCCGTACTATAAATTATAAGTTTGTAAACTTTATTTTCTATATTCTTTGTTCTTTTATTCCCTAATTCACTTACTTTATTGAGAATCAAGTATAGTGACGATTGTGACGGACAATTTATAAATAATATTCTATTTAAACTGGGAGTAAATTTAAAAAACGTCTCTTTAAACAAACAAATTAAGCAACGCGTTAAAAATATGAACTTAACTTCACATACGAGGGTTGCTATTTATATTTCTGGCCTTGGCAACAGTAAGTGTTGCTAGGTGACCGCAGACGATTTTAATCGAAAGTTTGATATTTTTAAACATAAATTCAGCAGACGATTTACCATTATAGCTTCATTTGTGTTGTTGACAGTAAATTGAAAAGTTCTTCTCTTTCAAAAAATGGAATTGAATCGTGAACATTTTCG